TTTTTTTTTTCAAAGGAACACCGGATGTCGAAGCACCGACATTGATGACGTTTTCATCCGGACACTCCGGTTGTGCAACAAAACAAGGCAATTCGTCATCCTCATTCCATAATATGTCTTCAGGTACATCCTGCGTAACTACCTGTGTAGATTCTTTGTCAATTTCTTGCTCAGGCTTAAACATCTTTCCTCTCTTGTGTTTCTTCTGTTCGTCTGATGTACCCCGTATTTCCTTCATCATGTCGACCAGACTGCCGTCAAGAGTGCGAGAAACTTCTTCACTGGTAGGTAAAGCTCCGGGGATTTTTCTTAAAACTTTGTTTGGGTCAATAGGATGTAAGACTGTGGTCCGAAACCCAGACTTAAGATGTTTGTCAAGGCTTTCATTGATCTGATTCCAGAGCGTTGCAAGTAACGGAGAGAATTGTTCTTTAGATAAGGTGCCTGTATAACGGCTCTCCTTTCGCCACCGTTCTAAAATTTCGCGCTACTTTCTTTTTAAGGGGGCGAAAAAATCATTTTTCAAACTGGTTCATGTCAAACCAGCCTGAAATTGTATTTCCGTATATGGTTCCAGGAGGACCACCTGTGCACCAATTTTCATACAAACTACCGCTCTTGTACACCAGCCATGGTGGCAATAATCGACCAGCTGAATTTACAGCCACCATTATGCTAGTGCAAGAGCGTGAATAGTTCTGGACCCGTTCAACCCTCCTGAAGTTCCTTGGTACTATTACCTTCTTGGCGCCAGAGTCATCAGCTATGTTTGTTTCATCTTAGTTGTATATGTTTTTAGAGTTTGCATTTTATATTATTAAAAAATTCTAACACACCGGCTTGGTCCAGGGATGATCGCGCACGCTTTATGTTTGTAGCCATCCGCACTGATAGGTTGTTCTGTTTTACGAAATTGTCTACAAAATTCTCCCCTGGATAATTGTCTTCAAACACCCGAGCTACTCTACCTTGTTTATCCAAGTATGTTTTAACTAATGCGCGAATATCCACTTTGGTTAATGAAAAGCCTCAGTTGCCAACTTGCCCAAGCGTATCTGCAATCACCTGCTGCTCTTGCTGAGATAAAATAGTGGAGCAACCGCATTTTCTGTTAAATCTTTCAAGAGTTCTGTTTACAAGAGTAGACCGTGAGATTTTAAACAAAAGGGCTGCTTGTTTTTTAGGCATGCCATTTTTGACAGCTGTCAACGCTTTTTCGACGTCCTCTTTGGTATAATTCTGATAATTCCGGGACCCCGGCATTTTACCTACTTTCTTACCATTGTTCTTTAGTTAGTACCTGTAACAGTAGAAAAACGGTGACAAAGTTACCCCAGGATGACAAAGTAGCTCCAGTTAACGGTAATAGAGTTTTTTCTCTCTACAAGTTGGTATGAAAATGTGAATTTGGCAAAAAGTGGAGTTACGAGATTTCCTAATTAGGGTAACGATAAACAAAAACTACTAGAACTTAGTAAGTCTATAAGCAATAGTGTTATTTTTTTTACCTGTGCTATACAATGTTGAAATATTTTTCAATACTCGTGGAGCAACCTGTTTAAAAATCCTTAAAATAGCAGATCTGGACTTGGCCACCCACATTTTTATCAAGCACCTAGAAAAAACGCCTTAGTCATAAGTTTTAAACTTATTATTTTTGTTTCCTACTTAAGAGAGTATATTTATAATATTTTTAATAGAGAAATTTATATATATTATTGTACATAGAATCACCTAGTTAACTAGAAATATTTATTGTGACATCATAATTATTGAACGGCAAGTCCATCCCGCGAAATTGACGTAATAAATTTACCAGAACAAATATGTTCGAGTTTTACCCAAATTATTATGTCGAATTTGATGGGACGGACTGTCCTATTGACCCGGTTAGTGACGATGTTCTTTAGTTCTTGAACGCCTGTAGTGACCAGCCTGTCCAATATAATAGATCATATTTTTCAGCCGATGGAGTTTTTTAGATGTCAACATTAACGGTCAACGGGACGTAGATCGGATCGGTACGGGGTGTTCTTAAATTATTCATTTATAATTCCGAAATTTGATCATTTACAATGAATTTAACTAGACTATTATGATGATAGTGCTGTAAATTTAGTTTTCTTCTAAAAAAATTAATTCTTTTTTTAACCAGACTTAGATACAGGGTGCGGCACAATCATCTGTTAACTAAAAATGACTTTGTGTTTGGTAATGTTGAATATTTTTGAACACCTTGTACATCCGTCTTTTTCTCTATCAACTTGAGTGCCTCTACTAAACATAAATCTGTTAATGCCAAGTTTTATACGTACTCCTGTTGAGATGTACGGGTGGTGGTGAAAAATTTAGTCAAATAAATTGTTGAGCCAAATTGCCAAGAGAATGTTGTTTTTTATTTTTTAAATAATTTTCGTTTTGTTTTGGATTTTGTGTTTGGCTAAATTTCTCGAACCCGTTTTTTAAGAAGCATTTGTTTTTGGAATTTGTACTTAAATATTATCTAAAATAAGGCGAGTAATGATTGGCTATGTGTTTTGTTTTTTATTTTCTGGTTTAGCGGTTATTTTTTATTTGAAAAAGTGATACAGATTGAGAGAAAGGACTGAAGAATTACATCAAGAAACAGGAAGGTTTCCAGAAAATAATGTTTTTTTTTTGTTTAAATTCGTAAATAAGTTAACAAATAAATCTGTTTAAAAAAAGTTTTTTTTTATTATATATAGTTTTGATAATTTGGCAAAAATATAGTTAATAAAATTTGGCCCCCTGCAAGAAACTGAATATCAGAAACGGGTTTGAAAAATGTTTGTATTTATTATATTTGCATGAAAACTTCACTCTCTACACAGAATTTCCAAAATCTCACTACATACTTCTTCAAAATTCTATAAAAAAACAAACAAGAAAAAACTTGGCTCCATTTTTGATTATACCATTAAAAAACAAATAGGGGAAAGTCGGGTAGCATCGGACATGATAACAAATCATTGCAAAACATACTTTTATTAACAAAGTTGTCCAACAAAATTATATTCAAACGATTATTTTACATGTATATTACATGTCTAAAAAACCAAAAAACAAATATTTAAAATAAATACAAATTCTTTGAACAAAGATAATTAAACATATTTGAATTCTGAAAAATTGGCGGGTAATACCGGATACGATAAAAAAGTTGCTGTTATTGCAGCACAAAACAAAAATGTTAACAGTTATCACACCTGTAATACATTTGACCTTTTTCCACATTAGAACAAGCCTCATGGACCCAGTTTTTACATTCACAACACTGGATCCAGTCTTCGTCGAAACTTTCATGACAAATGAAACAATAAGTTTTTAGGGTTTCTTTAGTCTTCTCTTTATGTGCTTTTTGTTTCTTCTGTTCTTGTGTACCTGGTTTCTTAACTATATTTGCATTATCACTTAAATTTTTCTTTGCCTTATTAGCCTTGTTTTTATTTTTCTCTTCCAACTCATTTTTTAATGGAGTGGAAGTAAGCACTTCACTTTTTTCAGCACGTCTTTTTCTTGAAACCATTCTACGTTCAGCAGCATTGGGGATTGGAGAAATTTCTTCTAGAAGATCACTAACACTTTTTCCTAAAGTTGTATTCGGATCAATAATATTTTTTTTCGGCAAATTTTCTCCTGCCTTTGGTTGGATTTCTTTGTTCAGAACACGGCGGGTTGATTTGGCTAGTTTAAGGCTGGCTAGTTGAAGGTTGGTAAGTTTCATTTAATGTGCAGAGGTTTACGACTTTTTTACATGGAGTTTTCATTTCAGATGTACCAGGAAGTTCTTGTTCGTTGAGCTTTGGCGGCGTTTTTGGTAACGTAGGTATTTGTAGGTATTCTAGTGATTCTATTGGCACGTTTCCTTTCTCATTACAACTATCAATAACAGTGGGTGTTAAAGCATGAGTTTCCCTTGGTTCTGGGACGTCTAGTCCTTCCGATGCAATAAAATCCAAGTCTGTAAAAATCTGAATTCAATGGATAAATGCCGCTACACTCAAAACCTCTCTTAGATAAGTCCATCCTGCAAATTTTCGTAAACGCCTCGTTCACCAGACCTGCGATTTCATAATCAGTAATTCTCATAAAGGGATTTTGTCTCATCCAGCGAGATGCTGCTTCATTGTAGGCATCCTTGAATGGCTTCATTACACACATCCAAAGGTTGCAACTTATGGGTGCAATGAGGGGGTAAGATTAACATATGGATATGGTTTTTGCGGGTAAAGTTAAATCTTTATGGCTGCAATATCCATCGACAGAAGTACTGGCTCCTCTTCAGATGCACGTGTGATTTTTAGAAACTCCTGCATCCATTTTAAAAAAAATTCACCATTCATCCAGCCAGAGTCCTGTGCATGGAACATAGAATTTTCCGGAGCGCCAATTTTCAGTCGCTCAATAATTTTTTTTTCTGGGAAAAATGAATGAATGAATTTATTTCCTGCCGCATTGATACATAATAATACAGTTATAGTGCGGTCCCTTTCACCAGAAGTTATTTTACCAATTTTTCCCTTTATTGAAACGACTTTCTGCCGACACACGTGGACTGTAGACACACCAGTTTCGTCAGCGTTGTAAATTTTATTGGCCCCAAAGTTATGTTTTCGCATTAGTTCTTCAAGTTTTTTAAAAAAATGTTGTAACTTGTGGTCGATTGAAGCCTACTGTTCTCTTTAAACTCGTTGACTCGGCAGTTCTTAAAGATAGCTCAGGATGACGTTTAAGAAATGTATAATAAAAGTCTTTTCCAGCAGTATTTTTTCCTTATTGAATCTATGTGGAATTTTTAAGCGCTCCGCCAAATCAAACGTAAGTTTTAAAAATTCTTTTCTGGTGATGGGCATTAGGCGACTATCCAAATCTCGCATGTGGTCCACAAGCTGCTGTTCATAATTGGCGGGAAATGTGCAGCGATATCGTCCAAGACTTGGAATAAGTTGTATTTCTTCGTTATTTTTCAAATGTTTTACTTTATCAGCAAGCGTACTTTTGGGAACACCATATCTTTTGCCGCCTCTCTGATTGTCAATTCGTTATCAAGCACTTTTCTAACGGCTGTTCTCATATGATCTTCGTCTCTTTGCCCACGTGTATTTTTGTTAATAAAGTTCGGCATTTCAGATGTTCTAGAAAAGAATTTGAAATTATTTTGCGTCCGGTAATACACGATATGTTTGTGTCCGGTGATACCCGACATGCACCTTGAGATCAATTTACTATTAACAGGTAGGTATTTAAAATGAAGAGTATCTGTACACATTTTATTATTCATTACTCATATGTGCATGCATTGTGAAGAGGGCACACAATTATCACTTACAAATTAAAAGAAACCGATCATTAAAGTTAATTATGTCCACGTCAAAAAAGTAAAATATCGAACACAAATTTGTATTGTCTAAACACCTTAACGTATGAAGTTCGACTGAAGATATCATGGAGGAAGGATAATTAAGAGTTGCCGTTTCTTTGTATAAATATGGCAACATGTTTGCCTTCAGCGACATGTGGGATAGTTTTGTGCAACTAATACTCAGTCGGTAATATAAAAAGCTGTAATGCTATTTTAATTTGAAAATTGGCGGGCTTTTGAATTTACTTCGACAAAATATAAGAATTTTACATTTTTAATAGCATTTTTTTAACACGCATCTCATGCGTGTTAAAAAATGCTAATAAAAATGTAAAATTTTATGTTAAATAATTTTAGAGGTATAAAATAAATAATACAAAATTGTATTAAATATTATTTGTTGATTCTTTATTGGTTACAACAATAAATATAATATATATTTTCTGAATAAACAACTATTTTAAATAACACAAAACGAACAAAATTTTTCTTTACTCGTGCGAAATAAAACAAGAGTTCCATCCATAAATCCTGAAACGAAAAGAAAAAAAAAACAATTGTTGAAAGCGAAAAACTTCCTAAAGCACATGATTTCGATTGTATGTGACTAATTACTTTTGCATTTGCAGCGATTTAACTAATTTTTAATTTACTACTTCTAATTTCTATAACGTCTAATTAAGATTTTCTTGCTTTATGTAATGAAAATACTTTAGATCTATAAAGCTTAAAAAGTTTGGTTATAATACATACAATTAAATTGGCATATCTAGGATAATTATCAAAATGAATATCAGAATTAAAACTTTGTCAAGAATTTCAATATTTGGGGATAACACAATTACGAATACGAATAATAATCCATTTTTCAGTTGACAATAAAATGAAAATGTTTCTTCTAAAACAGTGTAAATGGGCCAGAACAATTTGCTATTACAATCAAATATATGCATTTATAGGACATAGACATGCAAAAGTATCAAAATAAGTTTACTTACAGTAAATTATTACTAAATTTATGCCTAAAACTGTATTAAATAAAAGTAAAACTCACTTAGAATTGTTTACATCGACAGCCATATTGTATTTTGTATCATTCGGGTTTCGTTTATCGAGTCGACTCGAGCATTAACGAGATTTGGGTTCTGTTATCCAAAGCCAGGTTTACATTGTACAAATAATTGAATAAATTCATATTTTTTCAATTTTACGATTGATAAATAAAAAAAATGTGAAACTATTACTTTTGACAAGTTAATAACACATTTTTATTGAGATATTTTGTAATTATTCTGTTTTCTTTATATTTTATAATTAATTGTGCTATTGTAAAACGGACGTACGCCAGTTTCGATGTGCAGTAACTTGTTGACAAAATTCGCATATGCTATAAACCCCCGTGGAAGATATGTTGCTACATTCATCGAAGTAGTTCGTGTAACAATTCAATGGAAGCGGCAAAACGACAAATAACAGAAAACGACAAACGTCCGATGATACTGGCTGTGCGGTGCTACCCGACTTTCCCCTAATTGCTCATTTGCTATTATCAAAAACTTTTTTTAAAGACTCGAAAATGTATGTACTATTGCTGCGTTTGAGAATCCACATCGGATGCATTTTTAACATCTCGAGCGTTTTTTTATCCACATCGGACACATCTGTCCCATTACAATAACGTATACTGAATCACGTGATCAAAGATTTTTTACATCTCAGATGCATCCGATGTGGATTCTCAAACGCGGCAAGTGTTGCCAGAATATGTTTTTGTTATGTACCAGATTTGTCTAAAAAATGTACCAGATTCCTTAAATGTATCAGATTTTTCGAATTCTATTTGCAGTGCCATCTAATTCATTGAAGGAGAAAAAAGGGAGTCTTTATTGATAACGAACCCAAACAAGAAACACAATATATATATTTTACACGTGAACACGCAGAATTTACTACATCTAGTACAACTGTGAATTGTACTAGACTGGCAACACTGGTTTGGCAACCTTGTTTGTGAACAGCGCGCCAATTAATGTGTTCTTTGACAGTTTGAAGACTCTATTGGCGTGTTTTCTTCTCTTTTTAGCTATATGCATTCACCATATCGTCTCACTCGTGTTAGGCTCACTTATCATAATGCGCCACAGACACAGTATACTTAGGTATACTGTGCCACAGAGATGCGATCAGCCAGAGGACAATGATGTACCAAAAAATATAGATTAACACGTATGAAAATAAAAATATTTTAATTAAATTTATATTTTTGTGTTCTTTATGTAATTTTAAAATAATGTGTTTTTATTAAATTTAACTGTGTGTTCACTGCACAAATGAACCAATGGAGAAACCGCCCCTGGATCTATTACAGTTGTTATGAAAATAACAACGCTGCTACAAACACTGATAAAAGGGAAAGATAGCGCATAGTAAAGAGAGATGTCCACAAAAAATGTTTCTTAAATAGAGCATGACCGACAAGAACAGAGATACGGGTTATGTCAGAAAGAAAAAGAATTGTATGCTGGACATAAATTAATTTTTCCAAGACAAACTTTTTAGGAACGTTACATCTGATTAGTCTTCAAGAGCATGCATAAATGCTCTTGCGCTCTTACAGTGACACTTTTGTCGTAACTGGAGTATGACTGGCCTATCGGATTGGTCTGTCTGCTTGCAAGAGGTCTTAAAATAGTATCCCCAGTAAAATATATAAAATTTAAGTTTGCTACTATGACGTAGATTTCCTATTTTTTTACGAATTTTAAAGCATGGAAGTTAAGGCCAACGAAATAATGAATATTGATTTTTTACTAATATAGAAAAACCAGCTATTTACGTAGACGAGTAAAGTGTTTTGGTACCTTTAATACCTGGGCCCCGCTTTAAATCTGACAAGTATTTTACGTCTTATAATTCTCTATTTATTCTCAAAATTTTACCTATTCTGAATTGACGTAGATCTGGAGCTATAGAATCTTATTCTATATGACTGAAGAAATTATTTTGTAAAAATTATAACACAATTTGTTGATTTTGCATAACCATAAGTTATTTTTTTTATCATTAAAACTATGTAGAAAATTATCTTTATGAGACATCTCTTATAAAAAATAAATATGTAGTGATTTGGAAATATACCTATCAACATTTGCCACATAAACAACAAACGTTTTTGCAAACCTAAACATTTTTCTACTGGAGATATTCATTCCAATTTTAACAAATATTTTTGCCGAGTTATTTGAAGAATGCGAGAGAGAAGAAAAAACATCGCGTTGGACTGTGAGCGTGATATTCGTAAAATGCGTATTTTTTTGTCAAATTGCAAAAATAATTTTCAATGATTCAACCGCAAGAGTATCATCAATCGGGAGATAATTTAAAATAAAAAATTTTAAAAAATGTTCAAGAACGTTAGGCATCAATTTACAGTTACAATATTGACGAGATTAATATAGATGACATTTTGGCACATTTTTTTTTTTTTAACAAATAGTTGAAATATTTCCGAACAAAAAAGCAATATATTTGCCAATAAAAGCTTTTTTATAATGCGGATTATTAAATAATATTGTACCAACAATAATCAAGAGGTACTTTTAAAAGATTCTACCACATTTGAAGCTGTATCTCTAATTGTAGGATTTAAAAAACCAAAAGTGTAAAAAATGGAGGATATACACATAAGTCCTGTAAAAAATTGTATTTGCATTGTCATGATGCAATACCATTTCAAATTACCTATTTCTAAGAAGTTTGACAATAGAGCTAGATTATTTTGAAACGACGTAAAAAATTATGCAGTCATTATGATTATAAAAAAATCCAGATTGTAAGAATAACATTTTAGAAACTATCCGAACAATCATTTCAAACAATAAATCAACATTGTGATAAGAAATATTTCAACTATTTTATATGCTTCGAAAACACCACTCTTGTAAAAACGACACACCCTGTTTAAACGACACGTAAACCGCTTGGATAATATCATACAGGGTCTTCAAATAAGAAATCAGTGATCGTAGCGCTTTTGATCAGTCGGATTTTGAACACCCTGTGCAACAGGTAGATTTTTTTAAATGTGGTAGCTCAGGGTCACTCACTTCCATAACAATAGTATTTTACAATAAACTTGATAATATACAACAAAAATAATAAATAATTGAACTGGATAGCCTGACAGGTAAGGTTTTGGGGCGACAAATTGAAGGATATGGTGCAGAAGATTGTGATCCTGATCCTACACTTTATTAAACACACAGAGTGTTTCCAAAAATTGTGGCACTTCAAAGTAGCCTTTGCTGTGTTTCTTATATTATTTTAAACAGAACACCCTTTAATGTATATATCTATCATGTTAGTTAACGAGCTATCGAAATAAATGAAAACTAAAGTTAGCTATGAAATTTAAATGTTTTGGGTTGGTATTTTAGCCACTTACACAAAATAACATATATTGCTCGACATTTTCTTTGTGAACAAAGTTTATTACTTCGAAATAATACTGCAACAAAAAAAAAGAAAGAAATAATTTATTTAATTTTGAAATTGCCAACATTGCCAACATTTACATGAAATTACAGATATTGTTGAGAATGTTGTAAATAGTTATGTCTAAACACAAACTTTATGTAATATTGGCAGTGAGTTGTTGATCTCTTCACAGTTTTTTGTTATGCGATTTCTCAGTTCTTCCAAATTATGATTTGGCGTTGAAACATTTTTTTATTTAAAGCCATGCGAACATATAGCATATGTTTAAATCGCAAG